GATACATAGCTAGATAGCTAGATAGCTAGATAGATAGATAGATAGATAACTTACATTCAAGAACTCCTGCCGGGGTCTCACCATTCCCAACTCCCTGTAAAGAGTCTTAGACAGATAGAAAGTTTGATAGATAGATACATAGATAGCTAGATAGATAGATAGATAGATCTCTTTCATTAAAGAACTCCTGCTGGGGTCTCACCATTCCCAACTCCCTGCAAAGAGTCTTAGACAGATAGATACATAGCTAGATAGCTAGATAGAGAGAATGGAAGCCTATACTCCGGAGAGAATCGACACTGCAGTACCCAATGAGAACACTAAACTCTGGAGTTTGGTGAGAATGCATTAGAGGAGAAGAAATCTTTTCTTCAGAAAAAAGACATTGTGAAAGCATATCACAAGCCTGCAATTTCCTCCACAGAAAATACATGCCTATAAGTGCAAACCTTTGTCCAAACCTAAACTCCCGAGAGTAGCCATTGTAAGTCCAAGGCACTGAACTCTAGAGAGAAGTGAACTGCACAAAGAAATATACAAACACTAAACTCTATAGTTTAGAACTTGAACTCTGGATTTTAGTCATTTTCTGCTTTTCATCTGTCCATATTGTCGGAAGTTTGACTTCTAAACTTCCTTCGATAATATGTGCCTATGTATGTATGTATTTAATTCAAAAAGAAACGCACTTGCATACAGATTTCAAGGGGTAGAGGATCATGTAAAGATGAATTCAACCGAGCTTCGCCACAGCAGTTGCAACCATGAGTGGGAGACAAAATGAGACAAAGAAAAATAAATGTGCGCGTGTGTACGTTTTTTTTTAAGTGTCTTTACGAATCAGCATCCAAAAAAAAACATAGTAATCAAGTTGAGATTATTGTTTTTTCAAGTTGGATAATCATATATAATCATAATAAGCCCTTAAAACAATAATCATGGAAGTCAAGTTGGTACATACCTGGTACTGTTCACTCAACTCAAGTCACAGCGGAGCCATGCGGAGCCCAGCGGAGCCAGGTCACAGAACACGAGTCTTGTCGCAGTCCTCCATCCAACTGCACCTTGGTGCTACCCAACTTTCGATTGGTTGCCTGGAAAACTCATCCAGGAAAGCATAGATATGCATAGATATGCATAGATATGCATAGATATGCATAGATATGCATAGATATGCATAGATGTTCCAGTCCAAATCATTCCAAATCTAGGTTAAGGGAGAAATCTTCCAGGAAACCATGGATTCTCCGATCATAAGTATCTTAAGGTCCGGGAAACCATGGAGGTTCCCAAACCTCGGAGGTTGGGCAATCATCCCCCGCCAAGTTGCGGAGTAGGTCGACTCAAATTGATCCGCCCAAGTTCCAACCCTCGGTGCATCCGTTGGATTTGGGGCCAAGTCGACGTGGAGATGGGTGGAAAATATGGTTAGATTATGTTAGATTCAGGTGGTTTTAATGGTGAAAGTCCAAGACATTCCAAGACCAAAAATTCATAAACCTTCAAACTGACTGGACCCCAATCACCCCACTTTGCCAGTTTGGGTGGCTTTGAAAACTACATCATTATCTAGAAGAAATGTTAATGGTTGTTCCCAAGTTCCTACAAACTTACCCGGCGAATTGTCATGCCATGTGAGTCTTCTAACTGTTCGCGTGCACGTGGGTTAAAAGCCTCAGGGTACCACAAGCATCCCAATGTCTTACAATGGAAAAACATCACGCTCAAAATGTTTCAGTTGGGTTGAGTTACCGAAGGGTTTTTTTGCGGATCCTTTTGATGTAATTAGCTTGACCCGACCTGCGCCGAACCTGGCCAAGTGTCACCAAATCTAACAGCTCCAGATTGCGTTGAAACTCTTGCTCCTCGGGGAAAGCAGCCATCCCGGGCTGAAAATTGGATTTGGTAAGTTGAATCAGTTGAAGAATAAAACAGATGTATGAGATTATTCTAAATCATGCCCAATTCTACCAGAGATTATTAGACAAATGTATGAGTTTATGGCATTGGGTTTTTACCACCTTATGTACGAAAATTACCCCATGGCATCGGGACCCGAAATCAGTATGATGAAAATGGGTCAAGTGCAGCCCACAAACTGGGTCAACTTCCGTGCTTCAGGAGGCTTCAATGATCAAAATGTCGTAGCTGTGACATCTGTGACAAATAAACCTGGATCTTTATGTTGCGTGATCTGCGAACTTACAGATGATAAATAGACGCATAAACACCAACCGACCAAAAACATAAGTGAAGAAAGAAAAGCAAAGAAATTAATGAATCAATAAATCCACAAATAGATAGACTGATTGAGATACTGTATTGATTTGAAGGATTTTTGGTCCATGGCTTCAGCCCAGCCCCTGCCACCGTGATGCACTAAGGGCTCGATGGCCATTCCTTTTGCCTTGGCCAAGGATCATCCGGATACCAATGACCAATGCATAGGGACACACTGATGGGTATCACCCACTTAAACTGGGTGGCTTATATCTTATATAGTATAACTTATATATCTGTGTGTGTGATCTTCTATGGGTTATTTGTGTTGTCCCCCGAACCACATTGCCACCAGGATTATCGGGATCCACCAAGCTGTGCAAGTCAAGCAGCTGTGCATCGTGCCTCAGGGTACCAACGGGTCCCCAATCCTTTCAAAATGCAGCTACTACATCCTCGAACCCTTTGAATCCTAATTTCTAGCCGCCTAGTTATTTAAAAAATGGGAAAATGATGACAAGCCATGAACGTTCGGTTTGGTACTTTAGTATCACACAAGTCCACATCTACTATCTGCTATTGCGTTTCCGTGCCACCCCTAAAACGCCCTACGAGTACCTGGAGATCGTCTCAGGCTTCACCCAGCATGGCGCCGTTGGTGCCCGCAGGTTTGGCCCGCGGTCCTACTGGTCCCTCACGTCTGCATGGCTTGGCCATCTGGGTTTGTCGAAAATACGTGGGGGACACCCCAAAATTGCTGCAGTCTTGGAGAAAATGAGGAGAAACCTACGGGATTTTGAGGGCAGAAAGACACTAGAATTGGGTTGGAACGTCAAGGGCGGTGGAAATCGTTGGAGTGTTGCTGTGACATGTTTTTCTTCTCATGGTGTCTGCCCGACTGAACCTTTGCGGCAGCATTCACCAGGCCCAAGGAATGTGTCGCACATTCTTTTCGACATATGAGCATATCGTATGGGTCTAGATCTAGATCAACTCTGTCAAATACGTTGCACAAATCAAGTAGTATTGGACTGGTGAGGTAAACCGAAGGCCAAAAACCATCCCATTCACCAAGCATTTGGGGTCCTGTCTCCAGCCTGCACGCGAAGGGTCCACCACGGCCACAACCTCCACACATTTGGAATTTTGGTGGACTCAAACAAGCCATTGAAGTACCACTGGTGCCAAACGTATCATTTGTATTCATTTGTTGGTACTGAAGTTTATACAACATTATCAAACCCAATCCATCTATAGGATGATTTGATGGTACTTTATACAACCAAAAAAAACAACCTATCTATAGGATGGTTGAAAGATTACCTATCCTCATTATGCCTGAATGCCCTGCCTCCTTGGAGGGATCCATATCACCCAAGATTCGCGGGATCAAATCTTCGGCCTTTCCAGCCTGACATGATGAACTCATGGGCCTTCTGATCAAACGTGGCTGGGAAATTCTATGAAAAATGGTGATTTGAGTGTTTTGAACCTATGAAAAATGGTGATTTCATTGTTTTTTACTTGTGAAAAATTGTGATGTACTGGGTTTTTAATGAGAAATCCCTTACCCTATCCATGGAGGTTTTTATCAAAACGGATGGTTTTCAGTTGCCATGTTGATTGCCAGAGACTAAAAATATTCTGGAAAAACCTTTGGAATAAATACATTTGGAATCGGTTTGTTGAAGGTTCCCCCGCCAAAGCATCCAACATATCCACGCTCATGTGGTAGATATGTGGATATCTGGAAGTCCAAAACCAATCCGATGAAACTTGCTCACTCAGGCTTGTGGCAGGTCCCTTCACATCCTTCACTCAGTCCCACGCCAAGAATTCAGCGTTTGTGATGGAGTTCTGCTCTGCGTTCCGCCGCGCATCCTTGGATGTGTGCCCCTCAGAATTCCCAGAACAGATTTGGGTCCGATGTTCGGTGTGATCATCTCATCAAGGAGATTTGTGTTGTCTCATCCCCAGCATCCACAAAATTCATTGACTTTAGATTGCGGGGCTACCCTGGCTCAACGTTGTCCCACCAGCGGCTCCTGGATGTTCTCTTCAACGATGTCGACTCCAATGACCTCTTGAAAGTGGAAAATCACGTGCCCGCCCAACGCAAGAAAGCAACTGCAGAAGGTCTAAACGCCAGTTGAAACATGTTGAAACATGTTGAAACTATAGGAGTCAGCCACAATGTTGTAACCCAATAATGAACCATCCCTAAGATTACCAATTTATGGGTGGGATGCAACCCATCCCCAAGCGGTTACGGCATTACGGCATTGGTCTACGACATTATTCACTACCCGCTGGTAATCAAACACAGCACTCGGAAATGTGCTATAGATGGAGGTTTTAAGGCGAAAATCATCCATAAATACACCGTGTTCAACTTGAACTGTTCAACAATTTTCCATTCCAACGGTTGATGACCGGAAGATATACAGTATCAGTATCTCATTGCTCCTCCACTGCGATTCTCTTGTTCTCGCCATGACCCATGACTTCGTGTGTTCAACTTGAACTGTTCAACAATTTTCCATTCCAACGGTTGATGACCGGAAGATATACAGTATCAGTATCTCATTGCTCCTCCACTGCGATTCTCTTGTTCTCGCCATGACCCATGACTTCGTGGCTTCCAGGGCCTTGTCGCAGCAATGGGCCGCACACAAACCGATGGTGCCGATACCGCAGAAGATGTCCAACAAAATCTGGGCGCGGCCACGGGTCTCCCAGAGCAACAGTGTCTGTGGATCCTACAAAAATTGGGGACCTCAGCAGAAGAATGACATGCTATAAACAGTTTATATAATCAGGCGCAATACATGGCTGACTGGCTGACCAGAATGGGAAATCATCTCGGTCAAAACTCTCCAATTGACGCTTGCAGATCTAAATCTGCCAGCATCCTGCCAACCCAGTCATCTCATTCCATCTCTAGGCAACCTGAGTTCGGCACCTCGTTCTTTTTGAGATTTAAAAACCTGGGTCCAACATGAACATCTGTTCCAACATGTCCACGGAATGACGAGTAGGGCTTCAATCAGCTTCTGCCCAGCAGCGCTATGGCTGTCTCCATCAAGAACCGGCAGGTAGTGGTGTTGGGATTGAAGAAGGACCTTGCAGCAAGGGGCTGGGGGATGGGTGAAACCTGAAGCCTGCAGGCCAATCATGCCATCCTATGGCTGCCCAACCTATGGCTACCCAACTAAATTCCTTCCTGTCATTCCATCCCCCCAAAAAAAGCCAAGTCGCAAGGGCCCAACCTCCAATTTGAGGCCCAACATGGGCATTTCAAGCCTGCCAGGGGAGGGAACTTCAGGTCGGGGCCCTGCCACATCATCCTTCCCCACCTGGGCTTTCCATGCACGTGGGTGACCTCAAAGCAAGCCATCGATACGTTGTTGACCCAACATGTAGCAACAAAAACCATGAGGAATTGGTGACTTCCATAAATGGGAGGGTACCCCAATAGATGGATAGTTTATAACGAAAAATCCTGTTAAAAATTGATGATTTAGGGGTACCCCCATTTAAGGAAACCTCCAATTCGTACCGGTGACTAATGTTCAGTTCGGTGTTTTTCCTCTGTCTCTCGAGCCAACTGAGTTCTGCACCACCGCATTGGGTCGCGGTGCATCCGTGACCTGAAAAAGGCATTGCTTGTGGCGCTGTATCCACTGGGAAAAATCAAGTAGCAAGGGATCCCAATTGAGCGCGCTAAAAACCTTGATAGGTTCAGAGGTCGTATGGCTTACGCACAGCTTACACATTGCTTACGCCGCTGAAGATTTTCCTTGCGCGGCGGCACTCACGCAACGTGGTTTTGGCTTACTCGGATCCTCATCACCGCCCGATTGCTCAATTGATTGGCCGCTGGTATCCATGAGTTTGACCAAAGCCTTTCCAAATTTGGAGGGAAATGCAAAGAAAATCCCACCCACGACAATTTTCTCCTCTAGGTGTTATATCCCACCCAATTTCGACTCTTGTAACCCCACCAAGTTGCGCGGTTGATCTCGCTTTGCACAGTTGGAACCTCCCCTTTGTGGATTTCAAGCAGAACAAACCAATTTATTTCTGTTAGCCGCCCTTCAGGGTGCCCGGGTGTCATTCCCCCCTCCACATCCACACCTCATCGTTGAACAGCAGAAATAACGAAGTCACCCCCACCCCCTCAAGCTCAGGTAGGAGGGCTTCCACCTCGGAACATCAGTTCAATAGAGAATCATGGGCGAACCCAAGGGAATCACACGGAAAGGATTGTTTTTTTTACTGACAAATTGAAAGAATGGTTTTCTGTAAGGTTTCCGTTCCACCAATGCCGGGATTGGGGGTGGACCCCCTTTGTTGAACCTTGCCGGGGGATGTCTATTTCTCAGTTTTCACTGTTTGCTCCGTTTTTGGCTGAGCCGGCCCTCAAGACACGTCTTCCAGCCACTGATGGTGGAACAACAGAAGAATTCCCCAGCCCCAAAGATTGAGCAAGTCTGGGTCTGGGACGGTTTTAGTTCCATGAAGGGTCAAACACCCAGTTTGTCATCGCATGGTGTCGCACTTCTTCTGTTGAGGCCGCCACAAAGCGTTTCTGAGACTCTTCCGAGAGAGTGGTCGTTTGAACCATCACTAACCTCAAAATGCCAAACGTCCAGACGTGAGAACCCGCAGCTGGGGTGGTTCTTCAAGGGGCCCCATGAACTTGCCATGACTTAAGAACGCTTGGCCTCTCCTCAGAAACCAAGCCAGACTTGGCGGATTGTTAATGAAACGCTCGGTTCACATGCTCTAAGCTGTCAACATGTCACCGGCAGGATTGCAACGTGCAAGCACGGTGCGCCATACACCGCTTCGGCCACACTCCCGCCGGTCGTAGACGGGAAAATTGGACTTGGCCACCAATGCTGCGACCTGGTGTGCGATGCGGTGAGAGGGACGTAGGAAATCAAAGGTAAAACCGACAGTACCCGTTATCTTTACTGACAAATACTTGCATTTCATCATTTAGGTCTTTTTTGGCATTATACAAGACCAGTGTTATGAAATCAGATCGACTGTTTGTTTTAACGTTCAGTATCGGCCGTGCATACAGGTACATTGATGTACTTGGTGATTCGAAAGATGCACGACATGTGCCAGCGCGCTATTTCATATGATACTGTGGGATATGGTACCCAAAAATCCCAAGGTTTGATCTCCATTTTCTCCCAGCTCGCAGCCAGGGGGCCACTGAGCACAGCTGCTGCATGGCCGCTGGCACGAGCCTTTTCGAAGGCAGAGATATGGAAGAAATGCAAGTTCTGTGAAAAGAAACGGCCAAGTCTGAGGATTTGGTGGGTCAGGAGCATATCCCCCATATTCTGGCCTTAAGCCTTGATGGTAGCCCTTGATGGTTAAGTAGCCATAGGATCCGTTGCTTCCCCAGTTCTACCCCAAGCCGCTGGTTTTCTGGGCCGCAGGCGGAACATCTTGGACGCTGCCAATGACCTGTGCGCCATCTGGCTGAATCTTCAGGATAAAGCCCACCTCCACTTCCTCAGTGCCCCGGCGGCGGGACCCTGGGACCCTGGGAACAACGAAGGCATTTTTGCCTGAGGATGTTTAGCCTGTCACGACCTCATCATATCAACCTTAATATTTTACATAGAGTATAGCAGCGATCTTCCAACTGGCTGCCACGCCTGCCAAAGTTCAGCCGAGCATCGCCACTTTCATTGCGGCCAATGGTGAACCTCTCATGCAAAGCTGCTTGAATCTGTTTCAGGTCTGAGCAATAAAGTAAGTGGATGAGTTCCAAAAAAATGCTATCGGACCGAATAGAGTTCAATCATTTCCCCAGAAAAAAAGCACACACTCCATTAAGTTCTTGGAATTCCCAGCCATGAAAAGGGAAAAGCCAAGTCAAACACCTCCTGCCGGCGGTTCTGGGGTCGTGGCTCGCATTTATTTCGCCATCCCCTGGCAGTAGAACTGATGCTCTGGAAAAGCCCTGCTGATCCGCAGCCCTTCGCCAAATACGGGGGTTTCCTCAAATGGGGGGGGACAAATCATCTTATTTAATAGGGTTTTATTAGGATTTTCCATTATAAACCATTATAAACCATCCAGCTATTCGGGTACCCCCATTTTAGGCTAGTCAACCCCAGACTGCTGCAGCCTTTTTTCTGGCTCCAAATCAACTCTGCGCCACTCTGTGTGAATGGTGTCCTGAGTCCTGCGGCTCCCTCACCTGCCCCGATCTGCCACCCGATACCAGGCACATGAATCAACTCTGTAATAATGCTGAGCCTCGTACGAAGTGGAATCTTGGCTATGACTTAAGCCCGTGTGAGGGTATCCATGTGCATGTGTGTGTATGTGTAATGTAATGTAACGTACCGTAATGTAATGTGCAATGTGTAATGGGTAATGTGTAATGTGTAATGTATAGTGTATATTATGCATACTGTACTGGCTACTCAATCGCCAGTGAAACTGAGATATGGCATGGTGTGAAACTTGGAGTTCACTCATCAAATCTCATCAAGGGAAAAAACAAAAAAAAAACGGGGAAAAAAACTCGATGTAAAATGCCAGTGTGCGAATCACGGCCCATATGACAGTATAATGTAATGTACAATGTAATTATATGATGTAATGCGTAATCTACTGTAATGTATAATGTTATGTATAATGTTATGCATAATGTAATGCATAATGTAATATATATATATATGTGTGTGTGTGTATAATGTACTGCATCATGTAATGTATTGTAATGTAATATATATATATATAGATATAGATATGTATGATGTAATGCATAATGTAATGTATAATGTAGTGTATAATGTAATGTACTGTATTATATGCATCTATGTGTGTATGTGTGTTCATTTCGATCGATCGATAGATCGGATACGGTAGGATAAGATAAGGTTAGATTAGATTGGACTAGACTAGACTAGGCTAGATTAGATGCGATTAAATAAATAGAAAGATAGCTCGCTCGATAGCTCGATAGATAGATAGACAGACAGATAGACATATAGATTATGATTAGATAGACAGACCACATTCATATTTCCATATGGAAAGACAAATATGTTCCTCAACTGCCACACACATTGGAATTCACCCTGGTGCAGCCGGTATCGGGACCTCTCCTTGTTTTGCAGACCACGGGCAAGGGCTCGTCATGGCCCGTTCTGTACAGATCCTTGACATCGAGTGCCTCTCCTTTCGAGCCTATTTCCAGTGGCTATAGGAAAAAGCTGAGGAGACGCTTGTCAATCTGAAATCCATCAGTCAACTTCGCAGCGCAATGATAGCACCCCTTGAGAAGATGCCTGGATCTGTTTTGCTCACTTTTGGAGCCCGAAAAACATACAAAAACATACCAAAACATGCCACTTGGTCACCCTCTCAGACTTCGTTGCTGGGCGGGTAGAGCCAGCGACTGAATCTGGTCCTTCTGGGAAGTATACGACCAGGAAAAAGGGAAACGGGTCGCCACTGTCGTGACGCTGCCCGCCGGTCCCCTTGCCCATGGCTGAGGGGAACCTTCCTGCAGGCTCATGCAAAGTCGGAGGGATCACAACATCCAGCTTGCTGACTGGTTTAGGAACCAGAACAGCAAAAAAAATGTTCGTGTTTTCTATGTTGACAAGATCTGTTGATGTGCGGCTGGGGTTGAGAGCCCTACAAGAATTCAGATCTCTGGCATCAATCTCACCAACACACGTGTAACACGGACTGCTTCCGATAGCTACTGTTCCTAAGATGACTTCAGAGATCTCTGGCGTCTTTCCCAGACAACCGGCCATGGCGCCGTGTTTCTTCTGCGAAAAGACGCAGTTCTTCAGACTGCAGTCAGACAACACCCCGGAAACTTTCGTCGCTACTACTCGTCTTCAACTCCACATCAGATCCATCGATGCTGGTCTCAGAATAGCAGAGGAGCTTGTCCTCGGGTTGAACTTGAGATGTTTGGGATGTAAACCACAACAAGTGGGAGCTTAAACAAATCAAAACAACAAAGGTGCATACTGCACATGTAAATATATATAGATTCATTTACCTATTTATGCTCACCTCAAGTAAATACAATAACACATACGACCGCAATACATGTTATATATATATATATAATTATATATGTGTGTGTGTGCTCCGTTTCCCTGTCTACCAACCAACACATATAGCATGCAGGCCCCGCAAACCAGCCCGGTCAGTTTGACAAGGCGCCAGCCAGCGCTTGCTCACGAGGCGATTCGCCAACTCCTGGAAGTTACAGAATCGCTGGCTGAAGCAGCGCTCTGAAGCTGTAGGCAAAGCAGCTGGTTGATATATATATATATATAGAGAGAGAGAGAGGTAATTATATATAGACATGTGTGTGTGTGTATGCGTGTGTTTTATGTATATGTGTGTGTGTGTGCATATGTCTATATATATATATGTGTGTGTGTGTTTTTGTTATACATATATATATGTGTGTGTGTCAATTTGTGTGAGTGTGTATTGGTATTGGCTCATAATATGAGAATATGTGTGCGTGCGCGGATAGATCAAGATAAAGGTAGATATGTAGTAATTATGGAGACATGTATGTTTGATATATAGGAAACTATACATAAGTATCTAATGACTACCCAAAATGCAAATCTCATCCCTCAGAGATGCTGGACCCCTTTTTTTTCGCTCCTTCACCTCAGGCTCCTCCCTGGAAGGCATTGGTGGCAAACTATGCTGCGGGCCCAACACCATCAATGCTTCCAACGTCACCGGGCGATGATCCTAGGGGCTATGCCATGGGACATCCCGGAACTCGAGGTGTTTTGCAGTTTTTTGCTGGGAAAATCATTGAAGTAAATGGGAAGAGCCAATAAGAAACCATCCCCAATGACTCACCATGGCTGGTTTTCAAACCATCCCCAAACTGGAGGTTGATGTCATTGGGTTGGCCACAGTAATATCTTGACACCTGCATGTTGAAATCACAAGATGCATACTTAGATCCGTAAGATTAGAGAGAGAGAGAAAGAGAGGGCAGGTGCATATCTTTACAGTATTCTGTTCTGAGCAAGTGTGTGATCTGCCCCGATCTCGTTCACATCCAATTAAGCCTACTCAAGTCTACTCAAGTCTACCCATTGATCCATTGGTCTATCTGTATCTATCATATGCGTGTCCGAAATAGAGTACCCAAAAGTTCAGTGCCTCAAACCGTCCTTTCCCTTCTAAATTGCCATAACTGGACGCACACCCCATTGTCAAACACATCCAATGAATTATCACATTATCAGTTTTACCCTCTGGTAATTTAACATAGCTATTGAAAATCACCATTTTTAATGGGAAAATCCACTATAAATCACCATTTTCAATAGCTATGTTAAATTACCAGAGGGTATCTCCCATGTTATCCCCATCAATTTCCCGTGGTGACATCCCCATGCGAAAATCCCCCAAATCCGAGGCACACTGCCGTCGATGTGGCCCAAAGTCTCCTGAGATGTCCGACAATGTCCGACCAAGTGCTGGTGGGTCTTGTGGTTAAACCCAATTCAATGGATTTGTTTAAGGGAAAATCTATAGGAAACCAGTTTTTATCATCAAATATAAGGGTTTCCTGTACATTTTCCAACCATCCAAGTCTGTGACCAATGGTAATAGCGGTTTGAACCCCTAAATTTGGATACTATCAGGATATAACAATCAAATATATATATATATATGTGTGTGTATGTATGTATGTATGTATGTATGTATGTATGTATGTATGTATGTATGTATGTATGTATGTATGTATGTATGTATGTATGTATGTATGTATGTATGTATGTATGTATGTATGTATGTATGTATGTATGTATGTATGTATGTAGTATGTATGTATGTATGTATGTATGTATGTATGTATGTATGTATGTATGTATGTATGTATGTATGTATGTATGTATGTATGTATGTATGTATGTATGTATGTATGTATGTATGTATGTATGTATGTATGTATGTATGTGTGAGGGTATTTAGTGTCATAAACTTCGATACTAGGCACCTTGTCCTTTGGCCGCTATGGTTCCTATTCCCCTCAACATTAGTTCGGAGGGCACATTGGCTCTGCCATATGACCGCTTTCATGATGGAGGCCAGGGCTAGCTCCCTCATGAGCCTCATGGCAATAATCCCTGCCCCAAAACTAGCCTTTAAACTTTCAATACCCAAAAAAAACTGATTGAGTATTGGATCTTTTCATTTTGGATCAGTGACACGGTCGGATAGGATCCATTTTTCGAGATCCTCCACTTCCCCGGCAGTTCCAAGAATCATAACCGCCATGCGGCAGCGCCCATGACATCTGACTTGACAGCGCATCTGGTGCCCAATAGATGACCTCAGGCCAGGAACTTCTCGGCACATTTATTTCTTTACTGCAAGCGTAGCCTCCCAAGTGGAAAAACTGAAACCTCAAAGAACAGGTTCAAAAGAAGTGGATTTAGTGGATTTGGAGGCCAAAATCCCAAATCCAAAATGTCCACCTCGACTCCTCGACCCAACTGCCAAGGCACACGTTCCGTGAAGGCCGGGAAGTGAGACGCCTTCACCTTCGCCGGGTCCTTCTTCAAGCCCCACCTGGCAATGAGTGATTTTGGGGGGTCAAAATTGGAGAGCCTCAAAAAAACGAAGGAGTTAGGTAGAAAATATGGAATTACCAATTAGGAATACTAATGCTAATTGAATGTTTATTTAGATCAACTATGGAGTTGGGTATTAGGAAAATAGATGGACAGTATATGGGTATGGGTCAAAATCCTGAAGCTTTCGAAGACATGCCAGGGGCACTCCATGCCAAACTCGTTCCTGTGCACACTGGTGAGCGTTCGCTTGGCTCCCGGCGGCGGTTGCGCAGGGTCCTCAAACGAGTGGGGGTGTCACCATCACACCTGGCATTCGAGATGGTCAATAATTTACAGTAACCCCTAACAACGATTCCGAAAAGTGTTTCCAGGATGGTACTTGGATGATGTTTCCCTGGAATTTCACCTTTTCTACCTATGGGGGTTGCCTATCCGGAGGCCATGGCTTCTGCCGCCAAGCAGCGTGCACGCGGTTCAGAATGTCACCAACGGTGACCTGCCTCTGAATGCACATCCTGGGAAGAACGCGGGGGCAAAAATCACAAGGGGACACACCTGAACCAAAGGGCTGCTAAGGCCATTTTGTGCGGCTGAATAGTCCAAAAACAAACAAATCAAGGGTGCATCCAAGAAAATACGGATAGCCAGACAAAGTGCCCATTTTGGAAATGGCACGTGTCCATTTGAAGGCTAAGGCATGTTAATCGTCGATTGAGCAACCTGCAGCAACCAGCCCCAGGGACCCAGATTACCCCTGCAGCCCAGTGGCTTTGGATCAACCTCCAGCAGCAGTTGATTGCAGGTAATGCCCCCCAAAAAAACAGCTTCAAATTGAACGGATGTTTTTCTCTACAGTAAGTATGATTGAATATGCGTAGTGAATAAAAAAGATCTAAATAAAAAAGATCTAAAAATATGATGTTCCTTCCAGTTGAGACAATACAAAGTATGGTTTGTAGAACTCTTACCTTTGGTGGTGTCAGCTGCCGCCGCCTTGTATGTCACGGGCATCTCATTCACCCCATTGAAGGGAACAACCTCAGCTGCTGCGCTGCTGCCGTGGTTTAAACGTGTTTAAACAGCGAAAAATGATGGATTCACCATAATTAACTAATAGAAAAAGGACAAAAAAAACACCAAAATCATACAAAATCTATGGCCTGCATGGGAACCCACTTCTTCCCGAGAAGCCTCATGCCAGCGGCCCTTTGGGAGTTGCAAGTCGCTGGTCATCGCAGCCATGAGGGCTGTATCCTTTAACACCTAGCCGGAGCTGCATCTACAGGAGCTCCTTATCATTCCTATCATTCCTTTTGTAGGGCTCTTTGTAGGGTTTTAATATGTTTAAATTGTGGTTGAACTAGTTGAACTCTGGGCATTTCTAGCAGTAAAGCTCCACATTTGGCTGTGCGTCAAAGCTTGAGCCATGGCATCCATGGCGCCTCCAAGAGCACGTCCTTGGCTTGGCTGCCAATCTCGTGATGATCAAAGACGGTGCGGCTGTTCAGGTCGCCTTGGACGAAAATCACCTGACACGGAGAGCCTGGGAAATGGGAAAGGAACGGGACCTTTCACTGGGATGCAGGATCGACTGCCACGGGAAGATGTGGAGAATAATTTTAAAACATGTATAATAATAGTAATAATAACATATAATAACAATCATCACCACCACCACCATCATCACCATCATCCTCATCATACCCCCAGCATCTGAAAGGCATCTGACGTCTGAGTCAGGCACCGTGTTGTGGCTGAAATTCCAAGCGGCCGCCCTGCACAGTACCTCCCGCAAGACCCTGGCGTACCTGGTCCAAATGACGCCATGTGAAGGTCAACCTACCACTGGCACAATGCAAGGTTTTTCGCAGCAGCACTACCCATCCCACCTGGCTTGTCTCGCATCTTTGGGGGCCGGGAAAGCCATCCCTCAAACGTGGACAACTACCAAATCACCAGGGCACTCGATCTTGGCCGCCATGAGCTTTTCTGAGTCGTTGATCTTGTTGCTCACCAAGACGCTCTGCAGCCGCTGCATGGGAAAGTGGGTTCCAAAAAAGCACAGCCTCAACCCATCGTCCCGCACAATGCTGGTGCCCAGGAACGCCTACAGGGCTGGCAGTTGGGGTTGCAGCGGTGGATCGAACATGCAGTTCGTTGGTTTCCCCTGCCAAGTGACATGGAACGCAACAAGAGCCTGGACTTGATCAGCGCAACTTTGGATTTCATGATTTCACGATTAAAAAAATGAAAAATTGGAAGAGGCAAACTACTGGACTCCAGTCAAACTTCACTTGCCGACATCCTTCAGTCCTTCAGGTTTTGGGGTATTTCCAGCTTTTCTGACGACCACCTGGGACGCCCGCACCTTCTCTGGATTAAAGGTGAAGGTCCCAAAGAGTTGATCATCTCTTTCTTCCTTCCTCAGTTCGTTGTCAGCAACTAACCTTTCTAGTGGATGGAATGGTCATAGTTTGAGGTTTGCCAATCAGGTATAATACCACTCCTAGCATAGCCATAAGATCATGAGGGAAATTGAGGTGTTAAACTTCAAACCATTGCATTTTAGGGTTTTCCCCACATTTTCAGACAGGCCTTTTCAATTGTCCTCCAAGTTTCTTGAAGGCTTCCTTGCGAAAGCCAAGCACCGTCTTCACCTGGGATCCATTCACTGAACCACACAGCCATGGGATATGATCGCCACCAAACAGCTAGGCTCCCGGCATTTCCTACGCAGTGCTGCACCACTTTCTTCCTGGAGCAGGTGGAACAAAATATCATGTTCCAACAACCTCCTAAGACTAGGATAAAATGACTACAGATTGCCATCCTTTCACCTCCAAATCATCCTGCAATCCCCCATCCCACACGTCCTGCACCAGGTGAAAGGGTTCCAAGTCCTTGGCGGCTAATGGGAGTTGAAGCCCTCCAAACTGGGGATGTGCTTGACTTCTGAATGAATTTAAATTGCAAAATTGACAGGTGGTAAGTTTCTGGTTTCTCCTAACCCGAGGATTGGACGCCCTGGTCATTTGGGAATGGCTCAAGAATCATATGCCCCGAACGAAAAAATGTAGTGCTTGCTGATACTATCAATGACATCAATGAACCCGCTTCTGAATCATCGGCAACTCCTGGGAGGTGCCTGAAAGCCAGCTGAGCAACCATCAGTATTGGTCATGGAATATCTTTTGCCTTCATCTTTGTGGCTAGGGGTCAGATTTTAAGACCTCTACTGTAACCCGCAAACGCACGAGTTCATCCAAAGCGTGCGGTCTCTGCAGTCTGGACCTATCCTCGTGTAGTATGTGTAATGAGCGCAATCGCATACCCCTCGTAGTGCTTTGCGACTTCCGAAACTCCTGATTTTGTCCCTAAGCCAAGCCACGCAGTGGGATTTTTCTTCAGTGCATCACGGTGGAGTAATGTGTCCTCAGACCGCGGCTGATATTCAACTCCATGGTGCCATGGTCCATTGCAAACTCACCTGGATTGGAAGCCCAACCCCAGAAATTGATCCATGAGATGGGAAAATTATGAATCGTACATGGGACTATCACCAGCCCCTAGGCCCTAGCGACCCTAACGTCCCTAACGACCCTAACGACCCTGACGACCCTGACGACCCTAACGACCCTGACCCAAGCACCACACCCTACAGCACCCGCCAAGGGTCCATGCCAGATTCGGGCACGTTGTGGCGCCAGGTCCCCAGCTGGTCCTTCACAAAGTCCCGCATCTTGAAACGGGCCTCGAAGGGACCCACTGGGTCTCAGGGTGATGGGACTATGGGACCCTTTAAAAATACCGTGCTTGGTGGCATTTTCTCACGCAACGTCCAAAAAAAAAATAAAAGATCGAATCAAATTATCACATCTGATTTTGCTGAGTTTTCATCATATCCCGACCTCGGTCAAGGCCACAAAGGTCACATCCACCTTCGAAGCATCCGCAAAGGGCTTCGACAGGAACTGCCCTAACCTTGGCAGTAGGAAGCTCCATGGAGGGTGAGAACTTCTGATGTCCCCACCCAACTAATGAGAGTTGACAGGTGGTCTGCCGGCAGCAAGAAAGTGTATGCCTTTGGCAGCCATTCAAGGGCCGAAGGAATGTATATGATCGGATATACGTACTGTACATATATATATATATAATTATATCATGTGTCTCTGTGTGTGTGCACATGTTATGTGCAGTATGTATGCATCCCCAAAAAAAAAACATAAAAACATATCCCATCCCGGATCCCACATCTCACAGCATGTTGGAGGCTGCTATGGCTCCATCCACCCGATAAAACCCATCAAAACTTCATCGGCAAGAGGCATCCCTACGAAGGGATCCAGAGCAGCCTCAGTCAGCATCGTGAGAAAAGTTGAGATTAACAAAAAAAAATTGGAATTATACAACTTAAGGCTTAAGTGACTTAAGTGTCCAACTCAACTCGAACCTAGGGAGTTTCCCTTGTCCCCCTTGGGGTTTTCCAACTTGATGTTTTCCTCAACTCCAATTATTATCAATTATTGCTATCCATGTCTAGGCCACGGCGACGGATCGCGGCACTGGAAGCTGCCAGGGCACCATATTGGCCATATTGAAGTTGAAGAACCGCAAACGGATGGACGTTGGCTCAGTGAAGCCTTGGAGATGCCACCACGCCCAGTGTGCCATTCCAGGAAAAAAACACGAGAAACACGCGCTTCTGTGAAACCTCGTCATGTCCATCGTTGATTCCACGCACCCTTTTCTTTAAGAAGATTAAGAAGTCAGATCAATACCTTAAGGAGTCAGATGAAGAAGTACATCGTTGATTGAATGGCACCGTGAAGGTTCATGACCTTAAGAACCCGATCTTATGTTGACTTGGCAAGAATGTTTCCCAACCATTTCACCAACACCAACACTGCTCGACCAAGGTGCGAAGACACTTCACCTCAAAGTGAGGTCATATGTAGCTATCCACCGTGAATGGGGGGTTAACCAACAAAGTGGTGACTTAATGGATAACCAACAAAAATTGGGATTTAATGGGATTTATATATAATAAACAAAATGCGGATTTAATGGAATTTAACCAACAAAAATAGTGATGGAATGGGATTTAACCAAGGAAAATTCATGGGGGTTGATTTTACCAACAAAAATCTTGATTTAATGGGATTTATATAGATGGAGTCAATGAAGATATAATGAGACACTATGGGAATAAGATTTACCCGCTGCTAATTTAAGTTGAAAAAGGCGGCCAACATATTTATACAGGAGATAATTCTTTTGATTGAAGTTGGTGATTGTCCGTATGTTTAATTACTAGAGGGTATCGGATCGCGGTTTCTGAGTTATCACATCTTTTAAAAAACGACCGAATATCAATTCATGCGGGACAACATATCTATATCATCTATATCCAATCAAAACATATCAAAAAATCATTGTCCAATATCTGACCATGCAGCATGGCTTGCAGTCAGGACATGTCAGGGAAATCACCCCAGTGACACAATCGGCCAGAAGAAGACTTCGGAGCAAAGCAACTTCAGAAGTCAAATTAATTTGGCAAATAGATAAGAAACATTAAGAAACCATCCCCAAAATTACTGCCTTGCTATATCTTTTGGGCGACCCACACAAGGGAATGATGGAATCCTCAAGGCACTGAGCCGGCGGTGTCCGAATGCGTCACTTCCTGGAGTTCAGCTGGAGAAAACTGTCAGGGCAGCTGGATATTCACGAGGAAATGCAGAGTAACTTCATGTAACTTCTCTATACCTCTTTGTACGTACAAAAATGAACAAACCAGAAACATGTTGGTCGTTTCAATCCATCCCCAAAAAAGACTCAGTCACTATGGATCGTCATCCAAAACATGGCTGAGGCTGAGATTGTGTTTTAAAAGTTTTGTTGCATCGTGAGAACTACCAACCACAAAAGAACGAAAAACGTTGGCAGTGTCTGATATTTCGGTCCTTGGCCTGCATCTTCGCCGCTAAATCAACATGGCCCGACTTGACTCCACCACGGCTGAAAGGTGCTGTGAACAGCTTCCTTTGGTCTCAGCTTGTCCCATGGTGACTGCTGATTTGATGACTTCATGGGGGCCGCCCTGCAGCTTTTGTGACATTTTGTGGCCCCTAACAACCAACACATGCCGCGGCTTGAGTGTGAAAGGGCCACGAAACCAGGTGCGAAGCGGCTTGAAAAAGGCCATAGCCCATAGTTCATCAGTCTCATCCAACTGGGTCACTCCAGCATTCTAACCTGGCATGGGGAATCACCTATTTAGAGATGATTATCCATTAAAAGTTTGGATGTTCCATTACCATGTGAAATTACCAGAGGGTACCACCAAATGGCAATTGGAAGCCACCCAGGGCCCTATCCATCCTATCCCCACCTCAGGCTGCCTTCAGGTGCTCCAATGGGCAAATCCAAAGGACCTTGTCCAATTTCTGGGGTCAATAGTCGGCCAATACCCACATCTCCAAGGAAAATCAACCAGTTCTGAATTTTGGACCTCAGAGACCTGGGTTGGTCTGAAAATATCTGAATGAAGAAGGTAATTTGAAATCTCATGGTGTATCATCATTTTCCTCATTGAGGTGCGCATCCCCCGTGCCTGGCATGATATCCCCATTTTGGTTGATGATACCCCCATGTTTGTTGGTTAAAACTTTGAAACCACATTAAACCCATGGCTTCCTGCCGCACCCTGAGTGTCCCAACAACAGCAGCCCGGCTCAGCACCGTTGGCTTGAGACCATGCCTGCGCATCCAAGGGGTGCTCCCACTATCAATCAACCAACACCCGTGGGACAGCGACATACTCAATATGATAAATCGCCATGATCCCCCGCAGTTTTTGTTGGTCTAAAATGTGTTCAAAACCTTGTTATTTGTTGGTTAAACCAGATCTTAGTGGGCTAAACCTGAATTTTGTTGGCTAAACATGGTTAAACCGCACCAAATTCCCTGGGAGGTTTTCCTGGGAGCGCACCCAGCCTTAGAGCACCACTTTGGCAGCTCTCGTCCCAGCTTTTGACATCGCTTGGTCGCCAGCTTGATGAAGGACCGCACCGCCGTCTTGACGTAGCCGTGCTGCCGCGGCTGGGTGAGGACTTTGGAGTTGTGGTAACTGGGATGCAAAACCCCCTTACAACTAGCAAATAATGGCGTATAGATGCGTATAGTAGATTTCATGTAGAGCCAGCAGTCAAAACCAGGGATCCTAACTTTCAGGATCATCCAAATCATCCAAGTAAAGGACACGACGCTCGCAGTGCCTTCATCTTAAGCTGCGTTTCGTAGTCCCACCTTCTGGCTGGTCTGGCACCCCCATACTTGGGCCGGGCATGAGGTGCTCCGAGGGAGCACTGGGCAAGCTGGATCCCAATAAGAGAATCTGATTCCAACAATGCCCATGTAAACAAAATGGCGCTCAACCACCTCTTGTTTTGGATCAGTCAAGCCGTTAAACCCTTCGTTAAGTTTCCAAGTTATACACCCCAACTACCCCAACCACTTTCATCCATCGCAGTCGTATCTCTGGCCCAGGGACTGGATGAGCGGCGCGCTCTTCTCCAACGCATTTCCTGTGAAGCTCTTCTTCCCCGTCTTGATGCGATCCCTGTGGACGGCAGGTGAAAGGCAAAAACTGTTGGGGGGGTTCGGACACTAAAATCATGCAAGGGTCTATTTGGATGAATCGTCCCATATTTCAGGGTCCCGCAGATGGTGTACTGTAGCACTTTAGTGCCTGACGCTGACGACATTGTGACGCCACATTGTGACGCCACATTGTGACGCCACATTCTCAAATGCCATGACGCCGCATTCCCTGACGCCGCATTCCCCTGGCGCCACATTCCTTGACGCCACATTCCCCTCTGGCGCCCAATCCCTCCTGACGCCACGTTCCCTTTCCTGTCGTCCTTTCGTTTTGAAGCCTCCTCTTTCGTTTCAGGTCTTTCCCTTATAAGTTTAGGTCCTGCCTCTTTCATCTCTTTTGTTTTAAGTCACCCCTTTTCGTTCCAACTTCTCTGTTTCGTTTGGAGTCACCTCTTTTCGTATGGCTTGGGTGTAGGGTCTCTTTCGTTTTCCACGCGCCTTTTGGTTTACCTAAGGCCGGCTTAGGTTTTATCAGGTGTTTTATGGTTTGTTTTTGGTGTATGTAAAGCTAGTTTAGCTGCTTGGTTGGCGCTGCCTTGGGGTGTACACTTGAGTTTGGCTTAGGATTTAGTTTCGGTTTCATTTGCAACTTAGTGGAAGTTAGTTAAAATTTAAATGTGTTATATATATATATATATTTATTTATTTATTTATTTTTTTTTTAATAATTTCCAAAAAACTGGAATGGGTTTGGGGTTCGCTAATTTTTTTTAAAGATTAACTTTTGGAAGTTTGTTTCTCGGTTGAAACTTATTGGAGGTGCGCTTTTTTGCTTGTTTATTTAAGTTGAAAAATTTTGAATCACTTCAAGATTTGCTTTAAAATGACTTAATGTTGATGCAAATGTTGCTTATGTTTTGTTCAAAATTTTATTCCGCATTGGTTATCTTTTAACCGTGGTTTGGGCTTCATAAAGGTTCGTGTAAAAGATTGCGCTGAATCCATAGAAACGGCCCCTGGCGCCGGAGGCCGTTTCAATTGTCATGATTGAAAGTGCAGGACGCCAGGTGGGGGGAACTCGTCTTCGGGAAGGAAGTCGTCTTCGGGGGCGAATTTCCAGCAGGGAATTCGTCTTTGGAATTTGTCTTCGGTGGGGAATTCGTCTTCGGAGTAATTCGTCTTCAGGGAGAAATTCGTCTGCGGGAATTCGTCTTCGGAATTCGTCTTCGGAGGGGACTTCGTCCTCGGGGGGAAATCGTCTGCGGGGAATTCGTCTTCGGAATTCGTCTTCGCGTCTTCGGTGGTCCACTAAAAGGAATTAGTCTTCGGAATTCGTCTTCGTCTTCGGATGGTAAAGTGCTATGCCCCCAGCGGCCACAATGCCATATTTCAACATATTTGAGGATTTTGGAGTATTTCGGGGATGGAGAGAAATTGAACGAACCAACCAGATTTGTATCCTTTGACACACATCGGAGACAGTCCCGTATCCACATTGAGACACACTTTCAGACTTTATCTTTAGCATTTGGACTTCAGTCACTTTGGAAAGCTAGCTTTGACCACCGGATTCACAGACCGATCCCACCATCCAACCTCAACTCTTTGAGCGAAGGGATCTCGTTCTCGCCGGGGCGGTTCTTTTTCTTGTCCGGACCCCTCAGAAGCCAGCATCCGGCAGCGCTCTGCGCACGTGTGCAAGTTAGCCAGGCCTGAAACTCCAAGAAGGAATTGGTACTTAAATCCTTCAAACTCCAAGCCACAAATCAACCTCCAAGCCGCCACCAGCCAAGCCCTGCCAAATTCAAAAGGTTTGCTTCGTGGGGTCGCCCCATCCGTGGACCTAAGATCTGAGGTCCCCCAGCGATTCATCTTCGGCCGGTCTCTTTTGGCCAGCCTGTTTTGGACCAGCGTGACCAGCGGGTACGAAAGGATGGCCATCTTCAACCCCGGATTTAATCACAATTAATTGACGAGGGGGGTTACTCCAAAAAGTGATGAGCTGCATGTGATTCGACAATATGCACAGACACAATTCAATAGGCACATCATATCTGGAAAATAGCATAAAATAGCATAAAATAGAATAAAAATAGAAAGTCTACAAGGCTGCTTCTAACAAAAGATACATACTGTTCTTTTTCCTCTCATCTCTCTCTCAATGTTATGTCTTGGTCCCGCGCTTTCGCCCCTTGTGGACGACCAGAGCCAGCTTTGACCTCGCCACGTTTCGTGCGGTGAAACGTCGACAGAATCACGGATCGATTTCTGGAAACTCAACCTGGCACTTGAAATTCGATGGATTTATTTATGCTTCTTCCTGATTTCAAAACAAGGGTGCCTGATTTCTCTGAGAATTGTTGTGTATATATAAGTAAGTAGAATTGTTTCGTTCTGATGCATTTGAGTGTCTTGCAAGTGCCATAACTTTCACATGACCCAACATCCACCATGCCAACATCCATCACCAAGTAGGATCAAGAATGGCGCCTCCCTGGGGCCCTCGCCTGAACCTTGGCTTTTTTGAAGCAAAGTTCTTGGCTCTGCAGCTGTTCCGGATCCTCCACCGCTACAAAGGCAAAGGGCCAGGGCCTCAGGCTATCCACCCATCCATTGATTCATCTGGGCACTGACCACAAGGTCTGGATGATAAGGGGAACGGCAACACTCCCTAGGCATCAAACCGTTTCTTCTTGATTTTGGTCACGCAGATGCCAGCCTGACACGGAAAAAGCATGTGACACAAGATCAGACTCTTGACCAAGCTTGCAGTCCAACAAGCATCAAGTTTTCTGTTTGGGGTTGGCCCACTAGTCTTGTGGAAAATGGCCAGCTATACCATACCTCAAAGAGGAAAGAATTGTCTTCCAACCCCCTAGTCATGGCGGGGTCTAGCACGGTAAACCCAATGTCATCAACCCTCCCAAATGTTATCAGAAATAGGTGGTAAATTGCCCTATTGGAGGTGCATTATTTTGTTTACCACCTTACCATCCATTCTCCCCATATGTTTGTGGTGAAATCCACAAAGCATCCCTATCATTTGCGGGTTCAATCTATGCCCTATCATTGTAATGATCACATGTGATTCCTATTTTTACAAGTTTTACTATTCTTAGAATTACTGTTACTGTTACTGTTGTTGTTGTTGTTGTTGTTGCTGTTGCTGTCGCTGTCGTTGTCGTTGTCGTTGTCGTTGTCGTTGTCGTTGTCGTGGTTGTTGTTGTTGTTGTTGTTGTTGTTGTTGTTGTTGTTGGGTTCACCACACTATACGTGTTAGTTAGGAGGATGGCTGGCCATTTTCTGCAGCAAATTTGAAAGGACCTCTCGCAGCCAGTGCTCCAGCTGCTGGGGCTCTTGACCTGGAGAAAGACGCTGCGGTGGGTTTACGTGTGATGAATAAATAGATGTATAGTATATACATGTATATACACTAATATACATTCATGGGAGAGAGAGAGAGAGAGAGAGAGTTTCCAAACAAGAAAAAAAGTAGAAAGCTAGCATTCCACTTTTTGGATGTGACTACGAACCCTAAGGAATCTCTGCCGCTGGCGGCCTTTGAAAGCCTTGCAGCTCAGATGGAGGTCGCCTGCCAGAGGCTCCTGGGTGAGTTCGGTAACATGGCTGGGGAATTCATGGGAGAATCTTGGAAAATCCCCAAGCTAAATGGGCAATGGGAAAATCATGGAGGTGGATGATGGGTTTTGCTGTGTCATGTTGGAATACCACAGGATACAAACAACATGGCGGGGTTTCATGGATTTTCCGTCTGATCAAGTGGTTGTGGACCAAAAGTCGAAGTCGGAGTTGGTCCAGTCCTCATCGGCTGGCCCCTCTGCAGCTGGCGGCTCCCCCATAGGGGCTGGGGATCACTGATTCTGCTGTGTTGGTTGCGGTTCATGTTGGCTGCCCCAAAACACAAAGGCGAACTGCGCTGTCTGTCCTAAATCTTTGCGGGCCTATGCTGGTTGTTTATCTTATCCTGCACATCTCTTCCTGCAGGGATATTCCTCACCGGTTTTCGGCTCGTACTTGCTCTTTACAAAGGGGCTCGCTACATTGCCATGACTCTTCAGCGAGAAGGTTTGACACTGAGGAAAGCGCGCAAGTTGTTGACGGGTCTGAATGGGCTGCATGTCATCAATTTCAGACCAAATGCAACTGCAGCTGTCAGCTGCCATTCCAAACAAAATATCCAAAGGTGCAGCACCAACCAGCTTGCAGTTCCTTCCTTTTTTCCGTAGTATTGCGCTCGTATCAATCTCTCCCTGAGGCGGTGTGTTTGTTAATATCGGGCTAAATCCCGTCCATCAACTCAGTAGGGCTTCAAGAAGCAATGCCCTTCACCATTCCATGATTCTACCCTTTCTCATCCTCTCTCCTTCAGGTCTCAACGGCGATCATCTTCAGAATAGTCCTTAGTTGTCCATATCTGCATTCTTGTGATATTCTCTGTTACTATGTTCAATGGGTGCGTCGCGGAGTAGGCAGATTTCATGGAGGCCCAGCATATGGGAATATATGCAAACTTTGGCCGCCAGTTATTGTCCCATAAAAACCTCCATTTATAGGGGGTTTCCCATTCAAACCCCCTCAAATCACCATATTTTTCACATAGGTGAACACCCATCCAATCCTCATATTCCCATGATTTTCCTATGATTTTCCCATGATTTTCCCATTGATTACTGGATATTGATGTGGCTGCCGAGGCACGTAGTCAGACTCGTAGTCGCGACGGCGACGCCCTCCTCCACGCCGGTCCCGTCGTCGGCCACGGCCACGGCTGTCGTCACGGCGGCGGTCGCGGCCGCGGTCGCGGCCGCCTCGCGAGCCGCCGGAGTTGCGGGGAGCGCCGCAGGAGAAGCAAACATCCTGCGGCCAGGGCCCCCAGGGCTTGGTTTTACAACGGTATCATGGGTTTTTCAATAACTATGGTGATACATCTATGATGATATTGTTTTAGTACTGTTTTATAGTTATGTATGAATATATCCATTTGGAATGGTATATCAGTGTGTAACTATAACTATGGTGGTTATTATCTAATGGGTATAACTATGGGATTTTAAGCCCTACAACTATGATACCTATGATAATAACCTAAGTAAAACGATAGTAGCCTAACAACTGAGGTGGAGTCGTAGCTGTGGTCAACTTTCTTACTGGGTATAACTATGGAATTCTAACCTCCATAAGTTGGGATATGGGGCCCCTAGAACTATGGTTATATCATAGTTGTATATAGTTGTATCCACTTACAACCGGAAGTGCACTTCCAAGTGCAGGTTACCCAGGTTGGGTCTGGGATGGGCCCCAAGCTATGGGGAAAAGATCAATCATCTACTATTCTAGTGGTGTTTTCCTCCCTAGTAGGTCGAGCCAAAGACAATTGAGGTATAATACATGCTAAATAAGTAGAAATAAGTCGGGTACTCTCTTTCTTGGGCCAGTTATATGCTGAATAGAACATTCCCGTGCGAAAAAACATCGCTGATGTATGCTGATATCCTCCTCTATGCTGGAGTGACTTGAAGGTCCGAGTCCATCCACTCCACTGACTTTACTCTGCAAAGTTCTGTCGCTAGCTTCGCGTGAAGACAGCTGCAGAAAAGAATCCTTGATGAACATGGTTGATACGACTGGATTTTAAAATCCCACAAACACAAACAGCAGATAGAAGCAGATAGTCCATCCATGTCCATCCAATGGCGCAAAATCTAATCCCATCACATTTGCTGCAGCTCCCGGTCACTCCTTGGTTGCAAAGACCAGCTTGCCGCAGCTGCGACAAATCCAGTCACCATCTCGCTTCTCTATGGGTCCTTTTCCACCTGGATTGTTCACCACACCTCGCAAGCCTCCGGGAGCATTCCATGTGAGTTGAGTATCATCCTTAGCTTTGCTGCATTTCTCCCGCCAAAGAATAAAAAGTCTTTCTCCTCGAACAGATTCCCTTAAACTATGGATAACTATGATGTGGATATTTCCTCTTTGGATCGTGCATCCCCGAGACATCACCATAAGAATATGAACTTCAACTTCAAGATCTTCAAGCCCAGCATCTATTCGGACTCCAAGCTCCTTCAGCTCCTCCCTCATCCGGTCTGCTTTGTCAAAATCGCGGTCCCGCCGTGCGGCTTGACGTTCATCTACCATCTGCTGGATGTGCTCCTGGTCATCACCACGGCCTCCCTTGCCCCGGCCCCGGGAGCGGCTGCGGGAGTCTGACCGGCTGCGTCCACGAGCCATGACGCAGACACCAGGGCGATCGAGGGCTTTTTTTTTCCGAGCCCCAACTGCGAAACGATGAGGTCACAGGAGGTGAAACCAAAAAAATGCAAACACTCGCCGAATGCATGTCATTAAAAAAATGATCTGAATGTGATTCAAATGCTCAAGGGATCACCCCGCTGGTGCAGCCCTCATTTTCCCACCTAGCTGGAACTGTGGCGTCGCGGAGCGGTGCAAAACCTTTGGCATCGCATTTCCCCGCGCCGAAAAAAGCGGCGGTCACTTCAACAAGGCCGTCCATTTGTCCGACTCCTAAGGACGAGTCTGGCACATCTGGACATGTTGGAAGATCTGAAGTCTAAGTTTGTATATATTGAGCACTGAGGCTTGACTTGCATTTTTCTAGTAGCAACGCTCAATATCCATTGATTCATGTACTGTTTCATAAGCTGCCACCGAAAGGTCACCAGCACAACTCCACATCTGGCCCAGCGGCGTTTTGCTTGGTGAGCATCACATTCAGCTCGGTTCCACCATTCACCAAGCACCAGGTGCAATCCTCTGTCTCCACCTTGCCATTCAGAGCTCCATCCAGCAAGGTTTGACCTCGAGGCACTGGTCTGCAACTGGAACCTTATCATCCAGGGGTTATCGCTTAAACCATCATTTTTTATCCATCTTGAAAATCAAAAGAATGCCAATTTGATGCGTGGTTTTGAGGTCATGAGGATTCCCCAGCCATGTTTGAGCAGCTTTCTCCTCATTTCTGCTGGCGAATTGCCCGTTTCTGGAAACACCAGTTCTGCTGGTAGAATCCCGTTTTAGGACCAATCATTCACGATATGCTAAATTTCAACTTGTGTGGTTAATTCTGCCAAAGGGCCATTAGCTTGCACAGTGATGGAGGTTTGTTTGAAGACCACTTTGACCTCAGAGCAAAAACTGCGGTGGATCTCGCTATCATGGAGTTGTTCGCAAGGGGGCACGGAAAACCTGGCGACCTGGTGGTTCCCATCAACTATAATATTGATTTTTGGGTTTCCGGTTCCCTCCCTTCAGTTTGAACATCTTAAACTTTATATCAACTAATTCTGGGATCATGGCTGTAAGATTCCATGTTTGATTTCACAGAGTGTGCCAGTTTGGCCGGTTGAGATCAAAGGGGAGAATCTACCGACCATGTGGGTGAGTCCATCGCAGTTTTAAACCACCAGTGGGATTCTGCCAAATATATTGATTAGCGTTCTGAGGCGACACTTTCAAGGATCCCAGGGGAAGCCCTTCAAAGCCAATCCTCGAAGTTCTCCATTTGTTTCTTGGCTCTTTTTCCAGGCTCCCCGGGGCTCCCCACATCTTTTTTGGATGCGGCCTTTGACAGGTTGAAGGCAATCTGAACTTCCTCACCTGGGTCAACGGAGAGATTCTTTGCATCGTGGCAGAAAGGGCACTGAGGCACGGACCTTTCTGGCTCCACGTGTATCCATCCTTCAGAAAACGCGAAGGGTCATGAGTCCAAGGAATCAATGGTATCACTTGTATTTAAAAATCATTTTTGAGTCATGCATGGACAAAAAGAACAACCTTTAAAGAAAACAATAATCACTGCGAATGATCCTTGCCTCCTCCTTCTCACCCTCTTCCGAGTTCTGGTTCTCTGAGTAGCCTTTACCCTTCCCTGCGCCCTGCGGGCAAAATGCTTCGGGGTGACTTGCAAGGCTGGTCAAACCATCAAGAATGATGCAGCTTCGTGTGGTCCTCCATTGCCCAATTCCGGTGTGCAGCACTCATTGCTAATGATTGAGGTTGGTCCAACTCTACGTCTCCACTCACAATCATTGGATCTGTTGAAGAAACCCTGGTCACCACAGTCCGCAAAACAGGGTTTTCCTCTAGTCATCCCTAAGATACCCGGACCAACCCCGCCTTGGCTCCTCCTGCCCCTCCACCTTTTCCCATCATGTTTTGAATCGTCCTCGGCTTCAATGGTCATCCCGGAGGTCGGTGCTTGGTGGCTCATTGGATTTATCATGATTTATGATTTATCCAAAAACAATAAGTGGAGTCTCCAAGATCTCCAAGAACATTCCCCAGCTGGTTGGCCATTCCTGACCTGTGGATCTGGAACGGTGATGCGGTCCCAGTTTGGAAGCCTCGCACTCGCTCTGTGCCGAGACTCTCCATGTCCATGCCGCCAGGGCCCGTCTCCTTCTCTTCGGGCAACCTGAGACCCACCAGCACAGCTTGGGAGACAGCAGAAGCCTCCAGCTTCCAAGCGGCGCAAACAGCAACAGCATACTGAACCAAAGACCCCTATCCAACCTCTCCAGGCCGAAAACTCACCAAGTAACCCTGCCAGCCACTTCTCGAACCTGGGGGCATCTCGTGTCACCCCAATTCCCCGCAGCATTACACCACGGCCATTGTCACCAGCTCCTTCTTTAAAGACACATTGGGGATCCTTCGGATCCTTCATGATATTGGGTCATTTACATCCCGAGGTCATTGCCACTGCTTTTTGTTGTCCTCTGGCGGGGTACCGCCAAATTTCGACAGCCTCAGGGCCGACAAGGACGGCCACTAGCAACATGTTATGCAATGTGGTGTGCCCAATAATAAACCTACCGCTTCGGGATGATTTCTACTAATTTCATCTAATTTCTATCACCCAAAACGCAATTTTTGAGGATTTGCCAGTTTTCGTTCCCTCCTCAAAAGCTGTCAGATATGATGCACGAGGCAGCATCTCGTAAACTCACGGATCCCATTGACGTCAAGTTACTCCTCCCTGAGCGTAGCTGTGGGAGATGCCTGCAGGCCAAGAAAAGGACAGACTCGTGTGGGTATGGTTCGTAGGTGTGGTACACAACAATGGATGGTCAAGATCGGTGAATATCTAAAATGTAGCAAAATTGATGACGGTAAAGTCCGTGGCTTGGGGGCGCATCCCATGCAGTGCATCTTTTTTTCCTTGCCGCTGGGGCGTCCTAAAGCTCGGGGGTGGGCTGCGCTTCAGGGTGCTTGGTCATGGTGTAGACCTGGGGCGGAGGAAAGAATCGGGATTTGAAAGCGAGTGTTTGGCTTTTACTGCGTCGATGCAGATTCTTTCAATAAACTGTTTGGTTTGGATTCTATGAATTTTAGGGATGCCCCAGTAAAATCCTTCCAAAAGAAATGAGCATACTGGTGCCACTTGATTCCAATCGGCATTGTCTGGACCATCATTCTTACTGAGGCATCCGCATAGTAGTCATCATAGCTCAAGGCATACTGAACTGTCCAGCCATAGGATGAGTTTCCTCGCACAGCTTCCACCATGGCCCATGGCAGAAAAGACTCACGTCGATATCAACGCAGCTAAATCTTGAAACGTCCTGTAGTTACCCCTACAGTTGAAGAGTCACGCCAGAGTGAAATTTCAGGAGATTCTGCCGCGCCTCTCTGATTCTCTTTGGGATCTTGGCTATGTTTTCCTGTTCTAGAGGTTGACCACCTAAACACATACTGCTACAAGCTTGCTTGACTTGGGAGAGCACCTACAGAAAAGTTTCTGCAATGCTTTTGATGCTTTGAACTTTTGCACCCCAACTCTCTGGGTCATTGCTGTGTTTCCTCATCCAAATGGACAAGTGTATCTATGGATAGGGGAGAGTGGTCAAATATGAATTCTTGTCCTATTGCCAAAGTTGATCAGCATTAATCCTACATAATCCTACAGTACATAGTTTTACCTCATTGCAACTTTTCTCTTCCGTGTGGGAACCGCTATGCTCACATCCCTCCCTTGTTTGCTCCACTGCTTGGCCCCGGTTTGGACTAAGACTCGAAAGAAGAGCTCCGTGTTCAACTCCTCCGGCTGTCCCAAAGATATGGAAATGAAGCCTAGGCACAGGGCGGGAAAATTCCGGCATCAGTATTTAAGGATGGTTCGCCAATGCTTAACCAAACTCCATGCTGGGTGACAAAAATTTCAATTCACCTTTCTTAGAGTGAAGGATCCGCCGAAACTTGACATGCTGTGATGAGTCTGTGTGGCATCTCACAATGTCAGGCCTCAACCCCACCACCCAACCCCTGGAGAAATTATGACTGTGTAACTGGGGCGGATCTATCTCGCGATCGATCTATGTATCTGGATTTGTCGAAACATGTGTTACCCAAGAAGCTTTTAGTTGATGATCATCATTTCTCCTATGAAAGTCGCAAATTTATCTGAACCCGACCATTTTTGGATAAACTCATCTACGGATCTACCTTCGGACATAGACAAATAACTGAGCCTTGGTCCCTTGACGTCCAACTAAGGCACGACCCCCAGGCCGCAGCACACGAGAAATCTCAGAGAACATCAAGGGCCATTCTCGAAAGGCGCCTGGACTGAAGGGGCTGAAGAAAATTGGGATTCGACAAAACCATGGGGATCTAAGCAGTCGAAGTGCGTAAATGGAGAGGTTGGTTACGGTTGGTTTTGTATGATTTACCTCTTAGATCCTATTAGTTTTTCAACGTCTGGGGCATACCCCTCTGCTCCACTGACCAGTGGAATAGGACATCTATTGGTGTTCTATTGGTGTTCAACTGGAGGGTGGCATCCTAAGGCACGGTGTTCAAAACCAAAGCAGGTCAATGGATTCTGCCAATTCTGGCAATTGCTGACACCACCTCAGACCGCCTGAAAAACGGACACCCAACCTTCTCCATCCATCCTGAGTGGAATTGTCTTGAGTGCGATGTGCAGAGAAATATTGAATGTAACGCAAACCGAATACCGTAGACCTGCTCCACTGCAACACACTGGATTTCTTGCAGTTGATTGGATAGCAAATGGCAGTAAGTGCCAAAAACAAACAAGCCAGAAGCAGGCTTTTGCACAGAGCAGCGGCAAAAGAGACCCCGACAACAAAAAACAAGTGCAAACAGGATGAAACATGCAATGCTGCATGTTGTCAGTTCTACAATGTGGTCAAGACATTGGGACACACATCCATCAAGCCCCCTAAAAATGACAGGGGAAAAGAAGACTAAAAAAGAGAGATTCGGATGAAGGTCAAGTTTCAATGCTTTCTCGATGACAAAATCAAAGGACTTGTCCTTGAACCGGGGCATTCGTCGCAGATCTGCGTGAACCCACTTCAGGTCTGGAAAGCGCTGGCGCTGGAGTTTGATGACCTTCCTTGGATGCATGTGGGTTGGCCATTTAGAAGCCATCATGGACGAATGGACTTGCGAAAATCTGCAGAAAAACATGGTTTCTTACCATTGAAAATGGGGAATTCCTGTATACCCTTCATTCAAGTCTGGGAATAGTGGATCAAAATCAAATCTCAGACTAACCTGTGGGACGTTATCTTGACTATCAGTCGTGTTGGGTTTTTTGGGCTCAGTGTCCTACCTGTCCAAAACCAATTCCCTTACCCTCTGCCAATCAAACATGGCTAGGAAAGCCCAACCTTTTTTTTCCGGGGAAATGCTGGGTTTTCATGGAAAATCATCCGCAAGTGGGGGAGTCTCGGGTGGATGTTCCGATGTTCCGTCCTTTCACCATTTTTCACCAAGGCACTTGCTGTAATCCATGGCCACTACGCTGAAGCCCTGCTGGGCCAGGTCTGAAGGGAGGTTGCTGTTGCCACATCCCACCACCAGGATTTCCTGAGACCAACTCCAAATGCTACAGATCTTGGCCGTTTGAAACGATATGCCAATATAAACATAACTCTATATATATATTATGTAAATTTAATACATATATATATATCCAAAGTATAATATAGTCTATAGTAGTGTTGGTCAGTACTACTATTTTTCTATTATTCTTGTCTTCATATTCAAATGAATCTATACGAATATAAAACGCTGCTCCAACACCATGGATGTCAAGCCGTTGACATGGAGCGTTGATAATGTTGTTCTTCTTTCTGCGGGGGAACCTTGACTCCACCAAGGCTCATCACTCTTTCGGAAGGCCGGTCCAGCCACATCTATCTGGAACTCTTCCCATGCGCCGTACCAATCCTTCCCATCTGCGGCTCGGGGATCGCTGTAGGTCTTCTCCCAGTATCTGTATCGATCCTCGCTGCGGTAGCCGCAGCCATTCTCGGAGACCTTGCCTTTACTCATCAAAGCGTGGGGTCATACTCCATTTCTATTCGAATTTTGCCATCAAAACCAACACCAGTTGTTCCATTCCGAAAAAGGCATCCCCAACAAGTCTTGTCCAAAACCAGGAGGGACAAAATCCAATGGTTCATCAAAAGGATTTTCCACCCAACAAATTTTCCGCCCAAAAATCACTTTTATGTACTGCAGTTTTTCCTGATGGCAGTGCGTCCTGCGTCAACTAACGCTCCAACTTTTTTGGGGGTCCATTGAGCCAGTCCCGTCCTCGGCCGTCATCTGCAACTTGCCATCCCTTGCCTCGTCATGAAAGGCATCTTGCTGGGCCAGCACTGGTATCAGCCTCAGCGACCAAGTCTTGGGAACATAGAGGAACCCATCATAGCAATGACGGCAGTAACTGATTAAGATCTGCATTAAATCACGGTAAACCCATCATATTGTCAAAACAATTGTCATACTACCCTCTGGTAAGTATATAATCTAACACAGCTTTGCAAAATGGCCCGTGTATAGATGATTGATGATTGACCTGATGAGAACTTGTGACTTTACATCAAATTACAAAAGAGTAAAGGGCCATGATTGCTGCAATCATCACCTCCCAAACCTTCAGGGCTCGAGAAACACAGCACAGTGGAGCCAGATTGTCCAGGCCATGCTGCCATCAATGGAGGTGTGGCTCAGTCATCCACTCATGGTTTTCTGATGTGTTTGTGGTGGTTAGTTTCAACCCAATGAGGAATAGTATATATATATATATACAATCATTGGCAATCATCTCAAATATAGCTCAAATCAAGAATTTTTGAAAATATTTGAAACCAGTCAGTCTTGGAACACATCATGGTGGACGGTGAAGTTTCCGATTGATGGAACAGGCTGGTGGCATTACAGCGACTGGGGACACCGTAAAATACCTGAAACATCGGTCAATTTTGTATCTGACGTGCTATCTTGGATCGAAATGCTGCGGACAGTCACAGTGTCGAGAAGTGGCCCAAGGTACCTTCAGCAAACACAAAACTAAATTGCTGTCCATCTCCTGACAAGTGTGATGAAAAGATATGAAAAGCATCTGGGCTCCCAGGGGAATGATGAAGTATCAGCAACACCCAGCCTTCAATTCCTCCTGGATGACATCGTACCGCTTCATCACTGCGTCAACCAAGGACCTGATCAACTATATTCGGCCTTCCCAGCAGGGTGTTGTTGCTGGAAGAATTAGGTTTCAACTGTTTCAACTGTGTCAACTGTTTCAACCAAACCTCAAGTTGCCGGTCTGCCACCCGGAACTCTTCAGGACTCATTTGAACTACACCTTTGGGTAGGGTTCAGACTGCACATGCGGCAGATAAGGGCCTGATATCTTCCACCTTAAGGACCCGGCAGGCCGGCTTTCTCTGCCATGGCTGCCCAGGCTGTTCGGAAACCTTTCTTACCTGCGCCAGTCAGGGGTCCGTTACGCTGGAAAGCCCACGACGCACCACTCCCAGATCCAGAGATTGAAACCCAATGGCCACATACTTTGGAACCACGTCTATACAAGTTCCAATCCCAAATACCACCCATCTATGATCATTTTTTGCAACTTCTGTGGAGTTGCCGACTGCCAGACCATCTTGTCTCCCTGGCCTATGTCGGTCAGAGGCCCTGGGTTGAACTCCAGCCCTGACGAAGAGCCCCTGGACAAGAGAACTCCCATGCCTCAGTCGATAGCAGACCCAATGATAACCCTTCGTGCAGTTTATGGCCAGCGTTTCTCTTGCCTCCACGGTCACGGTGACTCTACCCTGATGTTGCCACTCTTCATAAAACAAAACCAGCAGCATTGCAGCAAACCTCATTTTGATTGTAGAAGTGTCAGCTGACCACTTGCCAGCTGATGCAGAAATTTCTTCATGTGTATCTAGTGTCGTTGATATAATGACGCCAAGGGGCAAGTAATGTTGTCTTTCGAATCCTCAGCTCATTTGTTTTCAACATGTTTAACTTCACAAATGTCTTACAATCTTCCCATTTTTGTTAGGTCAAATCCAACGGTATCTTCGGTATCGCCCCAGCTTCAGTCAGGTTCCCTCCTCAACAGCCAGGCATCGGTCTGCACGGCCTTGTGGCACACAGCAGTCACTGCCTCGCCAATGTTCTTGCCGTCTCTGAGCCTGCACCCGAAACGTCCCCACACATGTTCCTGGACATATGAAACAAACGAAAAATCAGGAAAAAAAAACATCATCTTGTAGTCTTGTAGTCATGGTAATCACTATTCACTCCCATTCAATCCCATGAAATCCCATGAAATCCATATTTTTTATGGTACAAATAGCCATGAATCACCATGAACTCCAGGATGTGAAGAAAAACCCTGTCAGATCGGTGACTCCGAGGAACATGGAGGCGACCAGCTTCACCACCTCCTCATTGGGAAAGCTACCTTCAGAGACTCCTTGGCAGTTGTTGTTTTGGTGGAAGGGCAAGGCTCCACAAAAGAGGATAGTTATTGAAGTAAAAAGTCAAACAGCCTTGTTTTAAGTATGGAAAATTGCATTCAACATATGTGTCGCTATTCAAAGGCTCAGTCTATTCTTCTCTTGGGAAACCCCTCACGCCGCACTCCCAGTGTAGCACGCTCACAGCCCAACCAAGTGTCCATCGCACACCAGCAGCAGAAAATCCGTGTCCTCACACCTCAGTCCAAACAGTTCCCCAATCTAGTTTTCGGGCCAAAATAAGTCTGAAAAAAAGGTTCAGAAGAGGGGAAGGCAGTGCAACATAAGTTGGGGAAAAGAAAAAGGAATTGTTTATAATTGTTTATCGTCTAAATACTTGGGATCCCTAATAGCCTATTGATACATAGTTCCAGCCCCATCGCTGAGTGGCTCAATGTGTCGCAACTCCGGCTCCACTGTGACTGGGCGATCTTCGGGCCCAGGACCACCTGTCGCCTTCTCATCCTGGAATTGAACGGTGGAATAAAACTCATGGGGATGATTTAGACATATTTTTTGGATGGAATGGGTAACAGGGAAAATATGGAAAAACATTATAAAACCCATAAAGTGGTGAATCAACTATGCACCGCACCCCGTGCACGTAACTTTACTACTTGAGCGTATTACCCACGTTGGATCTGGAACCTTATCAACTAAAAGCAGGTTTGGGATTTGGTGTTCCATGATGGGTATGCGCAATACCTCCAGGAACATAACAAATATCTATCTATCTATCTATCTATCTATCTATCTATCTATCTATCTATCTATCTATCTATCTATCTATCTAATCTATCTATCTATCTATCTATCTATCTATCTATCTATCTAATCTATCTAATCTATCTAATCTATCTAATCTATCTAATCTATCTAATCTATCTTATCTATCTAATCTATCTAATCGATCTAATCTATCTAATCTATCTGATCTATCTTATCTATCTGATCTATCTGATCTATCTGATCTATCTAATCTATCTAATCTATCTAATCATCTAATCTATCTAATCTATCTAATCTATCTAATCTATCTAATCTATCTAATCTATCTAATCTATCTAATCTATCTAATCTATCTAATCTATCTAATCTATCTAATCTATCTATCTATCTATCTATCTATCTATCTATCTATCTATCTATCTATCTATCTATCTATCTGTCTATCTCTCTCTCTATCATCTATCTAATCTATCAATCTATCTAATCTATCTAATCTATCTAATCTATCTAATCTATCTAATCTATCTAATCTATCTAATCTATCTCTATCTAATCTATCTAATCTATCTAATCTATATAATCTATCTAATCTATCTAATCTATCTAATCTATCTAATCTATCTAATCTATCTATCTATCTATCTGTCTGTCTGTCTATCTATCTATCTATCTATCTATCTATCTATCTAATCTATCTATCTATCTATCTATCTATTTATCTATCTATCTATCTATCTATCTATCTTTCTTTCTTATCTATCCATCTATCTATCTATCTATCTATCTATCTATCTTTTTATCTATCTATCTATCTCTCTCTCTTTATCTATCTATCTATCTCCCTCTCTCTATCTATCTATCTATCTTATCTTGTCTTTTCTTATCTTATCTTATCCTATCCTATCCTATCCTATCTATCTATTTATCTATCTATCTCTCTCTCTTTATCTATCTATCTGTCTTTCTCTCTCTCTCTCTCTTTATCTATCTACCTATCTATCTAATCTAATCTAACCTAATCAAATCTAATCTAATCGAATCTAATCTAATCTAATTTATCTATCTATCTGATCTTATCTATCTATCTATCTAATCAAATTTATCTATCTATCCAATCTAATTTATCTATCTAATCTGATTTATCTATCTATCTATCTGTCTGTCTATCTATCTAATCTAATCTAATCTAATCTAATCTAATCTAATCTAATCTGTCTGTCTGCCTGTCTGTCTGTCTATCTCTCTCTCTCTCTCTATCTCTCTCTCTATCTATCTATCTATCTATCTATCTTATCTTTTCTTATCCTATCCTATCTATCTATCTATCTATCTATCTAATATCTATCTTTTCTTACAACATCACTCATAGGGTCACAAAAAGTGCCCAGTATGCAAAATGATTGGAAGCACCCCGTCCTTGTCGCCGAAGCCTCGGCTAACGGCCAGGTTTCCATTGACACGGGCCACACCACCTTCAGCGATTT